AGTTTCTAACGTTGAAAGTCTGCAGACATACAGCTGTGCCACTGGGGGGGCATACATTCATGGATAAATCTTTTTTTTTATTTTATTAAAACTACTTCACTAAAAAATAAGATTTTTTGTATGTGAAAGACTTGTAATGTTAACTGAAAGACTGCCAAATTTTGTGAAGATATACGCACTATATTGAGAGTTATAAGTATTAAATCTATAAAGACTTTAAACGAGTAGAAAAAGGTCACGTGGTCAGTCAAATTGACCAAGCCCATATTGAGAGAGTTCATTAACAAAGCCTCTAAATTAGAAAACAACAAATATTTTCTTCAATTTTGTAGTTTGTACATTTTATTTTATACTTTCAGCACATAGCCTCTTAACAACAATATTAGATTTTTCTTTTATTGCTATGCAACATGATATGAAAGCCATTGTTGGAACACATTGTTACCTAAACACACTGACTTTTCTGTATATTAGAAGTTGTTATATAAGGAACCACTTTTTTTCTATGTGGTTTTTCACTTGCTTGCCTAACAAAAATATGTGATCATGCACATAGATAAATAATAATACCCAGGTGCAAACCCTCAGGGTCCACTTAGTATGTGTGCAAAATTTCAGGTTTTTTTAAGTTCTTTTCTAGTTATGGTGGTCACACCTTTTATTATTATTACAGATAATAGATTGAAATTTTTCAAATAAGAACTTGCCTAGTGTAAAAGTTGCTGTTATTGTATTTTGAATTAATTATTCAGTTCAGTAGGTTTCTCACCAAACATTAATGTTAAATTTGGGTAATGAATTTGTACTTCTTTTCTAAAATACTCGTTTTAGTGAAAACCTTACCTCCACAAACAACTAGATTTTAAACAAACACTTGAGAGCATGAAGGACTGAGATTCTATTGTGTTAAAAAGACATTGAGAACTCTCAAGGAAACCAAACCACATTTTGTGTCTAAAACAAAAAACAGGTTGAATTGCTAGATAAGACTTTTTTCAACCCTTTTTCTACAGGCTCAGCTAATTTCACTGGGTTTGTAACCCCAAAGTGATCATCAGAGTTTCTATACTATAATTTTCAATATGTTTAGTGTATCTTCAAGAAATTTGGGAAGCTTTCAGTACACATTACAAAAAATCAGCTCTTATAATTAAGTATTTTCACTAAAATTTGTCTATGAATATATACGGAGTCAGAGTGTTGACTACTCCAAGTGTAAAGTGATTTTCTTATTAAGATTAAAAATACTTTTCTTTACCTGAAAATTTGTAAAATGTTATTTGTATAATCCCTAAAACCTCCTAAATAAACATCAAACATTTTATTCAGTCAATTTGACTGACCTTGTAACCACAAAAAAAAAAAAATAGAAATTACCCCTTTTTCTTTCTAGAATGATTGCAAATTGTAACTAAACTACAGTTGTTTATCATAAATAGCTTAAAGCTTTTAACAATATACATCTGTTTATATATAAATTTTAATGTTTTATTGCCCTTTGACCCCTGTC